TAAGCAAGCAAGCAAGCCATATTTAATAATACATATAAATCTTTCAGCTGCTCCCTAATGCACAATAACCTGAAGCACAGTATTGATTTTAATCAATATTTTTAAGCAAATTCATCTTCCAAGTGACTGAGCGCTCGTCCAGGTTCTCCTTACCTGAAGGGTAGGCTTTTCTATTGACCCTTTATGGGCAGTTATTTTTGAAAATACAGCAAAGAGCAGAGTATGATGCTTCAAAAATACAATCTGAAGTATAAAAAGGCCATAAACCAGTACTGTTATATAGCCAGTCTAGAATCTAGGCTATAAAAAACAGACAGTAATAAAACAGTTGATGTTTTTGTTGCTCCATTGCATTACTGAACATCTCTCTTACTTATGTTAATGTTAGCATGATAAAGTACATCACAGTGTGCTTTTCTAAGTATATCATGGGATTGTCAGTATTTCTAGAACACTAAACTCACCTGGATCATAAAAAAGACAGATTTGGGCCAATTATAGGGGACCTGTGAACAACAACCAGTGTACAGTAACTGCATAGTAACAAGTGGCTGATTGGATGTCAGCCCATTGTGACATCACCATATTTTTATTTATTTTATTTTTATTTATATTTGAATAAAAAATCACTGTACTCATAGTTTTTCAGAAATGTGCCCCTACTGTTATGTTGGTACATTTCATCCATTCCACACCTCAGAAAAAACAATTTATCAAAGTATCGTGATGTTCATTCTTTTGCCATATCGCCCACCACTGTCTTCAAGTATAGTGATGTTATATTTTTGCCATACTGCCTGCTCTTATAACTGAAAGTAAGAAACAAAGAAATGAATGACTTCACTTCTATTCTGCATATTAAGGATGGGCAATATGATGACATTTATTATTACTGTGATATTTCACAATAGGCTTTTCTGAGCACATAGTGGACATCATCAGTACTTAAAGAAAACTGACCAACTACATGTTTCGCTACAAAGAGAGTATTATTGGTCCTGTTTAATTGGATTTAGTGCAATATATGAAATGCTGAATAAAAATATTGCTTGATGTTTAAAACATGCTTTTTTTTTAACAACTCTAACACTGCAGTAGTTATTGACATAACCTTCCAACTGTGGCACCACTGGTTCTTTTTTGTCCATTCCAACTTGCCAAACTTATGAAAAAATAACCATTGTGATATTCACTGCGTACTGTTAAAAAAAATATCTTGAAATATCATGATCTATTTCTGCCATATTGCCCACCCCTACTGCACCAAGCTGGAGGGGCCTGGATTTGAATTATTTGGATGAACAACAAAAATGACTTGAAACAAAAAGCCAGTGAGGAAAACTGTTCTAATTCTGTGCTCACAGGCTGAACGAGTGTCTGAAAGCTGTCTGGATCCCGGCTCTGCCCTCTCATCCTCTCCCAAACCTCGCGCTCATCCCTTAAAGCACATTCTGCCCCTCCGCTGGCGCATCTCCAAACACACCAATCAGATCAAAGAGCGAGGGGCGAGATTAAAGACAGGAGGTGTCCCAGCGGCCCGCATTTCATTCAGCCTTTCTGATATTGGCGCATGGATGCTGAATTAGTAGGAGACACACGCGCAAACACCTGCACATACGCGCATACAGAACACTTAAACATAGAAAATACTCTACACTGTCTGTAGACACCAGACAACACTCAGTGCTAATAAAAGGCATACTGTTGTTCGCTTTGGGGCTCAGCAACATGACAATATGACACCATTATCATGCTAAATTGTATCACAATTGTGGTTATTATTTAAAGGTAGGTAAAAAATATAACATTAGAAACTTCAAGGCATTTTCACAATACACATAATCTATCACAATATGTAGTTTTTCTGAAGTTTTTCCAGCGAACAAGCTGGAATGGACAGTAAAACAGTAAAGTCATATCTAAAAAAGACTATACAGACTAAAACTACTTAAGAAGACTATTTAAAATAAGATGATGTCATAACAAGCTGACCTGATACTATGTAGTTACTATACAATGGTTGTTTACAGGCTCACTATAGCTGATGTTTCATTGAGAGGAGGTTTAGAAGAGGCTCTAAAGAGAGTAGCAGTCAGGAGATCACTAGGTCAGTTCCCATTGGTAGCCCTGCTTAGTTGTATGTAGTCCACCACAGTATGCAGTAAATGACTGTAGTTTTTGATACCATTTTATGAAATTGGTTCAATGTGTCTGTTCCAGCTTACCAAACTACATATTGTTATTCATATCTTGTATTGTAAAATGTGATATTATATTTTCACCATATCGCCCAGCCATAGGTGGCGTGCATTCTGCACAGATCCACTAGAAATTCCAGACGTGTCATGTGCCAACACTAGGGATGCCGATACAAGCACCACAGACTAACACGCACTAACACAGTTCACTATAATCAGGTCAACAGGCTACAACAGGAAGCCCTCGGGACATACAGACTCAATGCCCCTGTGCTCTCTCAGTTCCTGACTGCATACAACAGCTGATAGCACAACAAACACGAATACACTGAATACAGAGCTCCACAGCATCCATGCAGAGTTTTCTCATGACCACAGACATTGCGTTTGGTTCGGTACTAACACTGTGACTATGTTGCTGCATGTTTAGATTGTGATATGCAGTCAATGCTGTACTGTAGTAAAACCCACTGGTGCATTAATGTTGGCCTGTGTCATTTTCAGCAAAACAATCTAATCTTTAGGTTGATTTACATGAACAGCTTGATTTATGAAAATGCACACAGTAACATTCATCCTGAGCTGTGATTGGTAAGGATGCTCATAGTACACAGTACAAAACTGTGATTGGTTAGAGGGCTCCTCTGAGTATCACAGCCTTCTGTGATACATGGCCAATATCACGATTATAATTACCAAACAACATATTGTGCAGCACTAGTCTATTGTTAACTGGGCCTATATAATTGAAAACAGACTTTTCTTCTTTTTTTAATAAAAGAATTTGATGGCTCCCCAGTCCATACAGTTGTGTGCAAAAGTTTGAGCACCCCAGTCAAACTACATGTCTTGTTAATTTTCTAAGCAAAAGTAAGTTCATCCTCTACAGGGATCAAACTTAAATATTAAAAATGAAAATTATTTTCCAGAAATTTAGTGCAAGATTTACTGAATTTAGCATATTGGAAAAACTGAAAAAATAAAACATGCACATTAACTTTTGCACAGGCCACATTTTATTTTATTTACTTATTTTAATTCAGCAAATAAACAGTAACTGTGCATTACAATGTGCCGTACAGTGTTCTCTGTAGAGGTTGTGTTAAATTACTTCCACTCAGAAAATCAACAAAGCATGTCATTTGACCAGGGGTGCCCAAACTTTTTGCATATAACTATATATGGAAACTAAGCAGCAAAATGAAATTGTTTTTGCAATAGCTCAAAAAACAACAACCTGCCTATTCAGCCTACAGCAGTTTAGCCCCGCCCACTGACGCTGATGCTATAAGTAGTTTGCAGCACAATACAAGGCAGCCTATCAGTCATTGCCATAGACTGTAGCCTACGTCTATGTCTGTCTATGTAGCCTGTTTAGTTCTAAGGTATAAAGAGAGTTTGGAAAACCATCATGTAAAAATTAATTAGGGCTGTTTTTGGTACATAAACCTATACAAATGTAAACCTTTGGAAAAAATATATTAAAGAAAAATATCAGTTAGGGATCCTTTAAATTTCCCTTCTGATAAATGATTAGCTGACGACTCCTATCTTTATTAAACTGTCTGGGCTTATACATAAGCTATTACTGCACAAAGAGCATCTGTTGCATTTCTGCCTGCTACTCTCCAGCAGCAGGAGACTTACATTAGCATAGATAATGAGTGTTAGTGTTACTATTCAAGCTTGCTGTGCAAACCGGTTTGAGCAGTTTGTCTACTGAAATGAAGACGGCTGGGGTGGACCCATCTAATTTAAATACAGAAAGACCGTTGCTTGTCTGGAGCAGCTATTACAATTCAGCATTTGTAAATTAAGAGGAAACATGCATTTAATTAGTGACAAAGAAATATTCAAAACTCTCCAAAGAAAACAATTCATTTATTTGATGTTAATGATGTTAATAAGGTCTCATTTTCATCCACTTTTCCATCCACTGACGTCTTTTTTTGTGCTTCAGATTTTGACGATATTTATATTTAACACGTTCTTTGATCTTTAACAATAGTGGAACCCTTGTTGGTGCTATGTAGAACCATTTTAAAAGGTTCTAAGAACCATATTTAGCAGATTCTCCATCATGGAGAAAAATACAAAGAACCATTTAAACATTTAAATGGATTTTTTAGTTGGCATGAATCTATGAAGAGTCCCCTTGTTAAGGGTGTATGCTTCAGAAAGCCCACCTTACACCTCAATCAATCTGCTAGTAAACACAAACCAAACAGATTCCAAATGTTCATAAATGCACAAGCTCACCAGTCTAAGGCTTCTGAAATGCTGCATCAATTACGTGTGTATACAAACGCACTCCTAAGATCATCCACAGATTGGGGTGAAGCGACGGTGTGCACAAATCGGCATTCTCACCACGGTGTACTAGCTCACTTCAAAGGTCACTTGAGCTGATAACATGCTTGCAGATGAGGGCCACTAAAGCCATCATTCAGACCAGATGCACATATTCACTTATGTACCGCAGCATGAGACCTCAACTGATACTGAATGCATTTGCCATCACATCATGTTGTTGACTGTTTTGGTCAAGACGATTTCATATTTTTAAGTAGTGCATCACAATTCCATTAACGCTCAATAGCTACAGGCTGCGACAAGATGAACTGTGATCATGCTGATTATCCACAATATGCACTGCGGCATTAAATCCACAGAAAAATCTCACTGGAAACCTTGGAATGCACTTCCACCTGCATAACCAACTGATAAGGAATGACACCATTATAACAGAATACAGACATTTTGCAGGCATTTATACATCCAGATTGTCAGGTTAGGTCTTACCTGATGTGTCCCACAAACTCAGTTCCACACGCTGGTCATCCAGCTCCAGACATGCTGTGTAATTCTCAAACACGGTGGGTACATACGTCTGTGGAAAAAATCACACCCCTATCAGTGCCACACAACTACCCAGCAACCCAGCAGACACAGCTGATGTGGGGCTCAGATACAGGGAACGGGCACTGATGTAAAATTTTACATGCATTCTCCTTATCTTTGAAAACAAGCACATAAGAGCTAATGCATATAATAATAAGAATGTTGGAGGTAGGCTTTAGCATTAAAAGGCAATGGAGGAGGAAACTTTTAAAAAATAAGAAAATAAACATTTCTTTCTATCTTTATTTCTACAGATAGGCAGTTGTAGCTAAAAAAAAACTCATGCTATTGAGCAACTAGATCCATCAAACTGTCAAGACTGTCACTCTGACCCTTAAACAACAGGTTAGCTGAGGGAATGCACGTCAGGACGTGCACAGTCCCTTGTTAACGTATGCAGCACTAACCTCTGGATAGCAGTCCTTCGCCAAAACCTGCAGCATGGCCGTCTTCCCACACTGTACATCCCCCACCAGAACCAGTTTACATCTGACCACCAAAGGCTGCGTGTTCCTTCTTTCCTTCATGGTTACTGTCGAGGATTCTAAAGCAAAAACAAGATCCGAAAAAGAGCAAACGATGGCAGGTCCCAGCCTCTCCGCTCGTTGCCCCCAGCTGATGTGCCTGAACTGAGGCGCTGTGCGCTTTTATACCAGCGACATTCGACTCGTGAACGAATCGATTCTGTATCGGTTCCATTTAGTGAATTGGTGGCTGAGACTTAAATGAACCGAACTTTTTGTAACTTGTATGCAATATTTACGCACGTACTGTAGACTGGAGAGTTATAATAATAATAATAACAATAATAATAATAATAATAATAATAATACACAATTTAATATCGTACAATAAAAGCAAGTTAAGCGTATGAAGAAAAGCCTTCTGCCAAACCATAGCTATATTTCCTCTTTCGTTATGTGTTTTGAGTTAAATGAGGCTAGTAGCAGTTAGTATTACTATATCGGGCACCAAAATGAATCAGACCGTTCAAAAGAATCGAAGACTCGGTTCGCTAAACCGGTTCGGTCTCGTCGCTGTCCACTGAAAGCGCTTGTGAAAGTTTCGTTTTTCCGCACCAAGGTGTAATGACTCACTACATTGTTTGGGGTCTGGGAAATGAATTGCTATATTAGGAACCTGAATCATTTAAGATTAATAAGACTGGTACTTTTTCAGTGATGTATTTTATGCTTGTAGCCAGCGTTACATCACCAGAGCCGGGCCAGTATTTGGTTTTGTAAGAGTAATTTACAGAATATTGCTAAATAGTTCCAGTCTTTATACTGCAGTTCTGCACATTAAAGAAGTTTACTGTAGAGTTAACTGAGAGCTGATTGGTTGGACAGTGGAAGGAGGCACCAAGCCACGCCCCCTCAGTGGTCTGAAGTCATACCCATATTAGGAACTGGGAATATAATCAGGTTTCTCTATGGGACAGCAATAATTACATTTTGGCTCCTTAATGACCCCTCAAATTTTCTGTTTTCCCTTGGAGAAAAACGACTTAGATCTGAAGTACCTAACATGGATGGCGACTACAGAATGCCAACACAACTTCTGAGATATGTAGCATTGGTTTAGGAAAGGGATGGAGAGCTGGTGTCCAGCATTTTAGAGATGTCTAGCAGTTTAAGATGTCCTTACTCACACACCTACAACACCTGGGAATTAAGTGATGAGGTCAACGACGTGTGTCTAAGAAGGGAAACCACCAAACTGTGTCAGTACTGGAGCTTCGGGCGATTTTAAGACACGGACCCACCCATCGACACCCTGAAATCCCATTAGTAGCACTTCTTTTGGAACTTGTAAAATAAGATGATTTTTTTCTTTATTACTTTGGTTTCTGGACTGTGCATTCTGTACTATAACAAGTCAACAAAAACAGGCTATAGCTGCACCTCATATTAATGGACTAGTTTTGTTGTTTCACCTTTATCTTATAGAACATTATCCTTCATTATATTCTATGTACTGTGGCTACTCTTTACCTTTCTACATCATGTGACTGGGCACAGTGAACTCCGCAATTATGAAACACTTTAAAAGTCCTTTGACTCATGTATAATGAAAGCTGAGTCTTTCATGCGCCTCGCTGACTGGAATATTTCACAAGTCGTACTTTGCCCCCCCGTCTATCTATGCGTGGATACACTATTGTTAGTATAGTGACGTTGGCGAGGTCGTTAGAGCAGTTGATTCCCATGGAGCTGTCTAGACTACTCTCCCCATAAGAGCACATTAACACCCCTCCCCGATGAATTAAGTCTCAAAGTGAATTGAATCAACACTAATTATCTACTGCAGTTTGAGCCTATCTGTAGTTATCTATAGTTCACTTTTGCCTTCTATATTGGAGTTCGGTTTATTTGAACTAACTGTTATAGTATTTACGGCCTGGGTGATGAATTAAAGAGACAGCTTGGCTGTTTGGGAACTAAATAACCTAAAATGTCTTTAACCACATCATATACATTTTCCCAAAAAGAGTACAGTTTATTACCTTCCCCAAAGATGTGTGTATGATTGGCCTCCTTACTCCCGCACATCCTTCAACGTGGCTGTTGATGATCAATTTGTTTACTCTGTGTTTCAGGACTATTTAAAATAACTGGTAAAATTGTTCCATCCGAATTCTTTCAATATCCTTGAATTTGTAGTCATGTGTTGTGTTACACACATTTTAGTCCACGCTTCCTCTGTAATATCAATGCTTAACTCTCTCTCCCATTTAGCTTAAATGATGCAATGTAATTTCAGAAATCATAAGCAAGTCTATTTGAGATTGCTAACTTCATGTGATTTGACGCAAGTATGTAATGATGTAAGTGTGCAGTTTGTCTGCTTGTTGGTGGCTACAAGCTTCCATTACTTCTTAGCTAGATTCGCATTGTACCTCCAGTGCAAAACTAAAGAAGCAAACTTTCAAACACCAAACATATCTTGGCTGATCGACTACATTTGGGGTAATAGCAAAATTGTGATTTGATTTACAGCCAAATGATCACTTTAAATCTTACAATTTTCATTCAGATCTTGTTAATTCTTGCTGTTTTTACCCGCAACCAGAAAATTAGGGTTCATTTAGGAGTGACGATTTCACTATGCTGCCTGTTTAATGTTATGACACTAAATCATACACATTAGATAGATTATATATATATTATATAGACTTTTAAACACTACAGAGAAACTCAGAACCTCCCTTCTCATCCATTCACTCGTTCAAGTGCTCTCTTAACAGCTATTAGTAGGCCATGGCTGTTAACACTAGGACTGCAGGTTAAAGATTCTTTACCCCTGCTGCTGGGAGCCAAAGAGGCTCTTGCTGACCAATTTACAATCGGTAAAAGAGCCAAAACAGGCATCTCTAGAACTTAGTTGAATCACAATAGTCAACAAAACCTCTTTGATTCAGACCAGTCATTCCTGGAGGAAGAGACTAAAATCAAAATTGACTCTTTTTCACCTTAGTTAGTTTATGTTTGTAGTCATATTAAACACAATTCATCAGCTGTTATTTTTAAGACAAAATTCTTGTTGTCCTGTAATCTTTGATGATAATGTAATGACTTTTGTCTGCCTCAAAAAGGTTGTCTTAGTTTTGATCATATCAGTGTGCATCAGTGGGTGTGGAAAAATAATATTTACCAATAATATTGTGGTGTCAGTGAAGAACAAGATGCGGGAAGCATTGTGCTTTAAACGTGAATGCTCTTTTATTGAGGTGGCAACAAGGGAGAACAGTTGGTCTTCACTTTTATTTATAGGATTCCTCTCTATAGTGGACACTTAACACCACTAACAAACTCCACTGGCCAGCACAATAAAGCACACATAACACATAAACAGGTTAAACCAACATTCACAACTTACCCACAATAAACGTCTCTCCTACTGGGAAAGCAGTGCCTCCCGAGAGCCTCCTTGCATGGGCGCTTTGCATGGCCACGCCTCAGGAGTTGGGACACAATAATATACTACTTTACCCACCCACGACCCCAGCTATCATTGAGATAAAACATTCAGCTAGCTAAGAGACCCTGATGTTTCTCTCAGAAATGTGTCACAGAAGGAAACTGCATTATGATTCCCGTTGATTTTATTTACTGGTGTCAAATTAACATGGCGCCTGTTTGCACCTTGCATTGACATGCGTTTCGATAAACTTTGGCCATTTCCAAAGTAGATTCTATGTACACCTTTCACTGAAATGCATTCCCATTGTGAGCAGATGAGATCCGATTTTACTTTCTCTGTGCAAAAACCCATCAAAACGTTGTACCATTACTGTTTTACTGTTCACTTTTTTCCCTTTTTTGTTCACTTTTTCCCTGTTATGATACGAGTGGATGAGCACAGCTTTCACAGCCAAGAGTGCAAGAACAAACCTCTATTTTTCATTTTATAAAAATGACTGTAAGGACTAAGGCAAATAAAGAGCTACTAAACTGTGCAGAGAGAAGCCCCTCCTGCCCTCAGAGACAGAGCAGCACACAGAGGGCCACATGCAGCTGAATAATCAACTGCTTCAAGTGTCACCACACAATCTGGCACAGTTAAAACTGGGTTGGACATGGGAAGACTGGTCCATGTCCATAGTTGACCTCTCATTTTTGAATAATAATGATAACAATAATCATAATAATAATAATAATAGCATATCGCTGTTGTCGGAATAAAACCTCGTATTTTCATTTTTGATGTGTTTCAGTTTTTGACATAATTTGAAAATGCCTGTTGCCTTTTATATTGTATGTAAATTTTATGATGAATGAACCAAACGAAATGACCCAAAATGACTTAGAAAAAACTCTGGGTCCATTGACGTTTATTAAAAGTAAAGTAGGTTTTTTCCTTCTCCTGTAAAGTTATCATTTTGGAGAAACAAGGTTTTGTTCTGACAACAGCAATTTGATTTATTACCACAGACAATAGTTCAGCATCTGTACATTGGCTTCTATTATTATCCAGTTGCATGCAAAAGTTTGGATGCCCTGGTCAAATAACTTTTTGTTGATTTTCTAAGTGAAATTAAGTTAACAGATTCTACAAATTCTACAGAGAATTTTTAAATTTTTTGTTAAACTCAAAAGAAAATCAATAATAATTGTGCATCATTTGCAGGAAAAAAAATGCAATATTTAAGTGTGTTCTCTGTAGAGGATGAACTTTTTTAATTAGACAATCAAAAAACCATGTCATTTGACTGGGGTGCCCAAACTTTTGTATATGCCTGTAAGTGTGTAGACAGGTTTTCTGCACAGGGAATGGAGTGATCAACGGTCGTATGCTGTGGGCGCAGCAGACAGAGAAAGTTGAAACAGTGCTGTAGTGTCCCTTTAGTAGCATGTAAATAATGCATGCTTTACAATACATGTGCAAAAAGGCAAACTTACAACAACAACAAACGATATTTCATTTGTAAGTTATTAATGATCAGTTCAGTTTTTTTGTTCATCAAAACAGTCAGTTTTGTCAAAAATGTCCTACGTCCCCCTGATGTACACAGTCTCTGAGTCCTCATGGACAGTAATACAGTAAAAACTAAAGAATAAATCTCTCTGTCTCTCAGATGTGACAGATGGCTCTGTCATGTGGCTCTG